ATTCAGTATTTTAGAACTGTTTGCTTTTAATACCAGAATATTAACTTCTACATGTGACTTAATTTAGCCAAGTAAGCTATTCTATTAATGTACCTGATTGACCTCTTCCTTGTCATATTCATCAATCTCAGGCTCATCCCTTAATCCCGCGAATGCTCCATCGTTCAACTGATCAACTTCTGCTGCGATGGCAATAGCCAGTAAGCAAAAGAGGCCAAGAAGAATACCAGGATAAAATTTCATATTTTTATACCCTTGTATATACGTGTGCGTCTCTATAGACTATATAAGAATATTGCATATTTACAAACCGAATATCGCATTAAAAATAAAAAGAGAATATATAATGCAATAGCACAGATGTCGATACTAGTTCCAACAAGTAATATACGCATATTTCCATACGCTTACGTTGTAATTAGTTTCCGATAATTGCTTATTTCTAATTCGCTTCTGCTGATTTGGGTATGGAGTAATTGCTATTTATATATTCGCCACTAAATTTTAATTAGGTAGCGGTACTGTAATACCTTTCCTTGTGTCCACTATTATAATCTCAGGGATTCCTGTAATCAACTCCATTGGTCTAATAATTAATTGTAGGAGACAGATTATGTCTAACCATCAGGTGGCAATGATCGTATGTTGTCAAGTACTGTAACTTGTTCGAAATAAACGGAAACCAATTACACAAAAGATTTTATGCTTTAATCGCACACACACGATTACTAGTAAGTTAAGTAATACGAAGCTGAATTATTTGGCTCAAGGATTATCTGCAAGATCCTAAAGTTTCAAAGGCTTACAATATCAAACCCGATCATTGAACAAGTATTCCGGTCAGTATGTTAAAGATTAGAATTAAATTTATGTGTCAGATTAAAAGCTAATGCACTAACATACCAGAATTACCTTTTCATGGACCCTTTAATAATATATTGTCTGTACATTTAATTATCATTTTGGTAATTGATTGTTAGTCCTACTATGGTAGATCTTAAAAATACGCAATGTAGTGTATGATTTCCCTTTCAGAATACGAAAGAAACGTACTGTCGCCAAGAGCTAAAAAGTTAGTGCAATAAACGCGTTTTGTTTTACGTATTTACAGGATTATATTGATAAATTCACTGTGAAGAAATTGTGAAGAAATAAAAGCATAATTATATTTGGGAACAATTCACTTGAAATAGTAGACAAGCAATATAGTATTGAAAAATATAGTATACAAAGCTTCTTGTATGAATTAGTTTTCACTTTAACGTCGTTAATTAATATCTAACTCAGACAATCTAGACTTTAATTAATGCAAGGAGATCGAAAAAACGTTTTTATTTGAACGTTTTGTTCGGATTAATTCTTATTTTAGTAACCCAGCTATAAAGGCATCGAATAAAATGTTATATCCAAATTCTTACGAAGTTAATTCTTATAAAGGAAAAGTTCTCAATTGATAAAATCATTCGCACAATGCACTTATACCACTTATCACTTTACTGCTGACCTATTGATAGATTTTATAAAAACTAAACTGCAAAACTGTATAAGTAATTATTGTCGACAAAAGACTACGTGATAATTTCTTCGTTAATGGAACGGACTGTGAAATGCTCAATGACATACATGCATAGTATATGAGTCATATACACATATTAGCACGATAAAAATAGATCTACTGATCAAGTTTTCATGAAACAAGCTAAAAAATGTTGTTGCTATCAAAAACTCGCAGAATCGAAAGATGAATTGACATAGATCGTAATTTAGCATACAGTTTTCAAATTTATGCCACGATATACGCAAGTGAGATTGCACTTATATATCTATTAACTATTTACCGCAATCATCTCATTCAATTAGCCACTATGTGTACGAAAGTAATCAAGGTAATTGTTCTGATCGATCTATTTTAATAAAATATTATTGTTTAAAGATTTTAACTTAAACCATTAACTATAATAATAAACAATGATATAATAGGATAGACAAGGAAGACAACCTTTAAATTCAAGTAGAATATGATTGATAGATGCTAATGAGTAAAATAACATTCGATTTCCTTTTAGAGTTATTAAAATATAGCTATGGCGCTGCGCTCTTTATATCTGACTTAATAAACAAACGTTATGTATGATACAATATAATATAGATAATTATTGCTTCGAAATAAAAGCAACGTACCAGAATCCTACATGACTGACAGAAATTCCCTGAAAAATTTAAGAACAAGCGAAAGTAGATACAAACTAATTAAAATTTCACTTAGCCTTACTTAGTTTATCACTTTGAAACTAATGCAATAAAATAAATGGCCTCTTTCACACATACTATTGTACAGTGTAATATCGATCACTTGATCATGACATCGTTTTAATCAATTATGGAAGGAAGACGATTATCGTAGTTATTTAGTGTATTTATAATGGAAATAGGTTACTTAAGTAACTTACAGGTTATATTGGTTTTGCATTGATCTACACTGAAAGAATGTAGCAAGGGTCGTACCGCACTAGATTAATTACTTTTATTTACTTAGTATTCACCGCCAGTACATGTAGAGGAGCGTAAATTATTATTAACTGGTTGTCGGCAATCTAAATCTACAAGTTGGCAGTTTTAGTAATCGTTATTAACTAGGAGACAGAATCAACATACTTTTCGTTTAGCTCAGGATATTACTCATTATTGAGCAGTTTTTGTTGCTAGTTAATGTCAGTATCATAATACGTTCAAGTAAACAACATAAATAAGCGATAAGCATAAAAAATTTATATATATAATGAAAATGATTCCATGGCACTTTTCAGCATAGTATATTTATTATTTAATATTCTTTATTAATCACTAAGCCATTTGTGGTTATAATTTTCATGGCTAAAAATCAATAGAATTGCCTTTGATATGCATAGCCAAATATAATTATTACAGTACTTGTATTCGTGTTGCATCCATCACATATAATACCGCTATTATATGTACATATTTCTTAGTAATCGTGGTGAATGATCTGTTATTTTATTTTTTACTTTGAACATTATCCGAGCAAATGCTTACGATAATAAAGAGATATAGGACATGATCTTATAGATCTCACTCCAGTTGTTAATATTTTAAAATCAACAATATACCAGTAACACATTTGTTAGATTTAGTAAGGTACCACCTACACACTGTATACCGTATAAAGATCGAGATGACTCTAATTAATTTATAACGAAAAAATGAATCAAGTGGAATAGGATCACAGTCAATAATTCGATTTCGTCATTTAATTTGATGTCATTTAGGTGTATAACCAAGCTAGTGGTCGTGGTAAATCATGAATTTCTATTTACGTATTGCTGTAATATTCATGTTAGTACGGCTGTAAATATATTAATAAACTGTTTATCTGCCATAATAAGCACTAGGGATTAAAATAAACCTTGTACGCTTATTATTGAATCTATATCATTAAAATGTTACTACAGAGTACTGCTTAATTTAGAAAATAATAATGATACAAACTAAATCGTATATTGATATTATGCGCAGTAAGTCAATCAAAAATCAGTCAATATGAGTAGCCTTTAATATATGATCAACGGTGTGCTTTATTTCTTCGAAGTATAATTCACAACAATAACAATACAGTATTATGTGAATCTTTTCACTTAATTACATGAAAAGTTAACGTAGTCTCATAATTCATTGATCAGTATTATCCTTCATAAAAATAAGATAATGTATTAGTCCGTTAACATCCTTGCTAAGAATAAATTACAAACTAGATAATTGTACTTTCTACCTGTACCTGTACTTCTACAGTACTACTATACTACTAACATTATATGTAAATATAATGTTTTAATGTTAACTTGCTGTTACGTTTTACTCATAAGAAATATATCGAACTTTTTCTTTTTCATTGGTGGCGGAGCTATCTGCTACGTTAGCTGAGTTTTCTTCGCTTTCAGAATCTTTCTCCGTGATGGGAACAGCTTTACATCTACAATTAACGCACCGCTGGCTTTTACAGTGCGCAAGATCGTCTTGAAGTTGCTGTATTGATTGTTGTTGTTCGTTCTTGGTTTGATTACAAGATTGGAAATTACTTTCAGCTGTAGTCAGTTTAGTACGAAGACTTTGAACAAGCGCCTGGCTAACTATTAACTGATTCCTTAATCGGTTATTCTCAATATGCAATGTTGCATTATTTTGTTCCAATCGATTATTTCTAGCACGTAGATTGTAATTTTCCGTCCTTAGTTGAGAATTTTCTGCAGTTAAGCGAGTATTATGTAGTCGAAGAGACGAATATAATGCATTCAGGTTATTATATTTCGTTTGCAGACTTGACAATTTACGTCCTAGAGTACGGATTGTTACCCCTTGTCGGCTGATTGTAGCGGTATGAATGTTTATTTGTCTTCTCAATCGACTGTTAGCTATGCTTAATTGTTTATTCTGAGCAGTTAATATTGCTTTCCGGCGATTACAGAGCGAGAGTTGTTATCCAAGATTGGCAAGAAACTATACGACGCCGGATTCGACGACGAATGATGCGTCGGCGAAGGATACGACGACGAAAGATACGTCGGCGAAGGATACGTCGGCGAAGGATACGACGACGAAGGATACGACGACGAAGGATGCGTCGGCGAAGGATACGACGACGAAAGATACGTCGGCGAAGGATACGTCGGCGAAGGATACGACGACGAAGGATACGACGACGAAGGATGCGTCGGCGAAGGATACGACGACGAAGGATACGACGACGAAGTAATCGACGGCGAAGGATACGACGACGGCGAACTACCACAGCACGACGACGGCGAACTACTACAGCACGACGACGACGAACTACTACAGCACGACGACGACGAACTACTACGGCACGACGACGACGAACTACTACAGCACGACGACGACGGCGACTAACCCAACGTCTTCTACGCCGTCTCCTCCTGCGGCGGCGTCTTCCGCTCTTAGCTAAGTGTTCACTAGCAAACTAATGAACAATATACGCTCGTAAATATAATTTATTTTCAAATTAACATTTACCTTCCGGATTGAACTGTTTCAGGATATTGAAATTAACAAATGCAAATATACGGGTAGATTAAAGCAGCTAAACAGGATGTCAATACAGTATATTGTAATATTAACATGTATAGTATACCGCAATTAAGTTTATTTAGACAGTATAGTAAGTATTGAAATTTCATTCATTGCCTTAAAATGGGAAAACTCTAATCAAAAGGTAGCGTATTTATTAATTGTACATAACCAATTTAAATAATCACTTATGATAATAAACCAGCACATCATCGTACCTCACTTTCCTCTGTATCATTTTCTTTATCATCAGTTAAATCAGTAAGTTCGTTTTTATCTTTACTTTCGTTTATTTCGGATCCTTCATTATTGATAGGAGTTACAGCAGTGACTTCATCAAAATCATTTTGAGGATCGGCTTCCTCAGTCTTACTTGTTTCGTCTTCTACTTCGCCTGCTTCTAATGAATCTTCTCGATGTACTGGCTGATCCTATTTAATTTCGAATTAATATTGTATATTACTTTCATTTGCTTTACTATAAAAATATTAACATCTGTGTAACTTAATGCAGTCGATTAAATTATTCTACTCCACCTGATTAGCTTCTTCTTTATCATTGCCATCTAATGCATCGTTCTCCAGTTCACCTTTAAATCCTTGAAATGTTTCATAATTCAATTGATCAACTTCTGCTGTGCTGGCAATAGCCAGAAAGCAAAAGAGACCAAGAATGGCAAGTTGAAATTTCATGACTTAATATACCTATATACTATATACCGATATAAGAAATATTACATTTGTAACAAACTTATTATCGTGTCAAAAAATCGTCAATATAAAAAGTTATAGCTGGCATATTGATATCAGATCCATAAGGTACATATTTACGCATACTTACGTGACAGCCAGCTTGCAACTGTTGCCAATTTCTGAAATTGTACTTGCTGATTTGGATAACACAGTCGAAGTGGTCACAATTTATACAATCGTCATGAGATTCACATTGAATACTGTACAGTATAATACAACATTTTTGTGTCTATTATATTACTAAGCATATCTTTATTGTTACTGCTGTAAAATCACGGTGAATCCCACAACTTACTTTTGTTCTAGAAATTGTAGGGTTATTAACCGTGGTGTATTTTCTAAATAGCGATATACGCAAGTGAGATTGCACTTATATATCTATTAACTATTTACCGCAATCATCTCATTCAATTAGCCACTATGTGTACGAAAGTAATCAAGGTAATTGTTCTGATCGATCTATTTTAATAAAATATTATTGTTTAAAGATTTTAACTTAAGCCGTTAGTTACAATAATAAACAATGATATAATAGGATAGACAGGGAAGACAACCTTTAAATTCAAGTAGAATATGATAGATGCTAATGAGTAAAAATACATTCGATTTCCTTTTAGAGTTATTAAAATATAGCTATGGCGCTGCGCTCTTTATATCTGACTTAATAAACAAACGTTATGTATGATACAATATAATATAGATAATTATTGCTTCGAAATAAAAGTAACGTACCAGAATCCTATATGACTGACAGAAATTCCCTGAAAAATTTAAGAACAAGCGAAAGTAGATACAAACTAATTAAAATTTCACTTAGCTTAATACTTAATATTAATTCTTAATATTTATTAAGTATATTATAAATGCTATCACTTTAAATGTATGAGAATTCTCAGAACTTACGTTATTGTTTCGGTAGGTGCTGAGGACGTATTATGTCTAGCCAACAGGCGGTATGAACGCATATTATAGACTTATCCCAAAATCAATGAAAATAAATTATATGAAAAGATTTATACCTTAATCGTATGTATTGTTGTTAGATTATTAAATTAATAGCAAGCTCCAACGAATCTCACTATCAGTATTTTACACTATTCACAAACGCGCAAGTTCTCACTGTAGTTTATATTAAATCCAGACCAATACAGTGTTAATAGATCAAACTTAAAGATGATGTAACAGATTGAAACTTTTATGCACGGCCAGAATTTTTTTTAATTTCAATAATTATGATAAATAATAACAGTGGCAACTGAAACTCGATGCTATTGTAAGAGGTGTTGAAAAAATTATATTAAATGTTGTGCTTTTTAGCTGAAAGCTAAAGTAATAAGGTATACTACACTGTTTTTTGTATTCGCAGAGATCTACTTTATAGTTCACAGTGAATAAATTATGGAAAAAAGCGTAATTACTTTATGTATCTGACAACAATTTTATTTAAATGGTAGGTAAGTAGGTACAATAAAAGCCGACGTATAGTATTAAGCAAAGTTTCTTATGCAAATTAGCTTATCCTGCAAAGTTATTAAAGTCTAATATAGGCGGCTTAGATTTCATGGTAAGTTAATTTAAGCAGACGTTTTTAGTTCTTGTTATAGTAATCTAGCTCTGCTATTAAGACATCTAATCAAATATTACATCCAAATTCTGAAGAAAGGTGCAGCACTCACTTTAATAAACGAAAAATATTTGATTAATGGAGATTTTAATTAAATTTTATTGTAATATCTATCTAGCATCTACACTTCTAACCTGCTATTAGATTGTATGCAAAAAATATAATTAAACTATGAAACAAAAGAATTTGTTATTGTTTACTAAAGCTATATAAGATAATTTCTTCGTTTGACAAATTCTACTATAAAGTAGATTGAATTACTGCATAATATTAAGCAGATCACTATGAAGTGCCTGTCCATGTGTAAAATATAGTATATTAATCATGTTCACCAATTAGTATAGGGGAGAAGAGCCTTTGGCCACAGTTTCGTGAAATAAATTTAAAGTACTACAGAACGGATAGATGATTATGTAGAACGCAATTTGGCTTACAATTTTCAAATTATTGCTATGCAGTAAGCGGTTATGTATCAAAAGAGCGTGTAGAAAACTAGACCCTTTTATAACAATAACTTACTTATTCCAGACATTATAGTGCATTAGAATACAAGAGTTACCTACGCTATCATGTAAATCAACTAGAACGATTTCTATAATATTCATTCACTCGGGTGATTTTATTGGATTGATCATACGCATACAAAAAACTTCGTTCCTACTAGCCAATTTTAACAAAAGATTATTAGCTGGCGAATATGTATGTTATTATTATATATACTTTGACGATAACCTGTGTTAAATTGAAAAGCAATGGTAAAGTATGGAAGAGGAGAAAAACAACCTTCAAATTTTAAATAAGTACAAATGAGCAAAATAATACATGACTTTCCTCTGCAAACTTCATAAAAGATGCAATAATTTAGACAATCATATCGAAACAATAGTAAGGAACCAACGAGAATAACAACAACTTCCTTCAAATTTTTTTATAGCATACGGAAGAAGATGCTATGTAAACTTATTAAAATTTCGCTTAGTCTTGCTTAGATTATCCATCTATTGGGGGGAAAATAGAATCAACCCAATGACTTCATTTCATATACTAGTAGCTATCACTAGTCCATTATATTATTTTAGCTAATTATGGAAGTCAGTGACTGTCGTGTAACTATCTACTACTTTTATATTAGAAAGGTTGTCCAGGCAACACACATATCATATGGGTTTGTCGCCGATCTAGCTGAAAGAGTGTAGCAAAGTGAAAGGCGGTGTGATGCTGGATTAATAAACCTACTTCATTTGTTAGTATTTACTGCCAGCATACGTAGAACAGCATAAATAGTTATTAACCTGGTAGTCTAATCGAAAAGATATTAGATCTTGTAATCTTAAATGTCCAACACCACTCAATTTTCTTTGCACTCGAAATATTGTTAATCATTGATTAGCCTTTGCTGTTAATTACCGTACCGTAGTGATATTGTAATATTTTTAGAATCAGGTCTAAATTATTACGTTCAAACGTTTAAATTAGTGTTATAGCTTGTAATATTTTAAAAGTAATGGACGGATAGGTAGGTTAAAAGATATAAAATTCAGTTTTGTTGAATTTAAATTTAAAATGCTGTTCAAACGAATAAGATATATTTTACAAACGATGGAAAAAGAAATTTTCAGATGTGACTGATTACTATTCCATGACAGTAGTACCATAATTACTATGACCCACTCACTTATTTTATAATACGGCATTTTCGACCGATAATTCTCCTCTTGCTATGTTTAGCATTCTATTTACCGCACTATTTTTACAGTAGCATTTTTGCACTAACCATCATTTGATATTTAGGAATTGGATAGCTTACTCTAATAGCTAGAGCTATCGCTATTAATAGATGATCAAGTATACTTACCTATAGTAGGTCGAAAGTACATTCTTTCGAAGAAATTTCACTTTTATGTGGGTAATTGATGAGATCTGAATGATTTCTAGTATCGTAAGATCAGCTATACGCGTATTTACAATAAGCTGGAGCTGGCTGTGCAGTTGCACTAATTGACGGGTGTTATACACTGGACTGTAAAATAGATTGGGATCGGTCTACAGTCTGGATATTGAATAGTATACGATAGTTCTTGTTTGCAGATTTTATGTAGACACAGCTAGCTTAGTAAGCATTATGATTAGTTGGTTGTTTAGCTTATTCATTAACCGAAAAAAGGCGAATAAG